GAATCCTCCTTGATTTGAGTGAAAGTCTCACCAGGACCCTTCATCACTCCTTTGTCTGTCACCTCCTGAGGCAAAGGTGACTTGCTGAGTGTTTCCATGCTCTTTAGATTTCTTTGAGGTGTTGTTCGATGAGCCAACCCAAATCGTTGAGATCAATAAGGTTGAGTTGGTGGAGGGACTTCCCAGTAAGACTTTGGAACATGATATCTATTAATCCTTTTTGCGATTATCGTTGTGCTGCTTCTTCAGTTGGTCGATTGCTTTAGTGATCCTTTGGCGTAGGAAGCTCGCCTGATTAACCATCTTCTTGTTCTGCTCCATCTCGGGCATCCTCTTAAAGTCAGCAAGCACATGATGGGCTCCGAGAAGGGATGGCCAAACATCTGGTTACGAGTCATAAGGGCTGTAAATGATTGTATAGGCTTTGACATTGCAAAGAGTGCTAAGTTCACTCACTTTCTTCATCAGCCCCTTCTTCTTTTTCTTGAATGTGGCTTTTCTTGTAGAGTTGTTAGTGATATAAGCAAGCTTAACCTTCTTTCTAGTCATGGTATTTTGTCATGTGTGCCCATGGGGCGGGAGGGGGTATATATAAAACGACACAACGGTTGAGTAGCCATTAGTAAGGAATGGGGGCAGAGTGTTTCAATATAGAAGAATATACCATATAAAGTAAGATGTGGTGCATTCTAAAACTGTAAGTGGAATGCCCAAATTATCTCCAAAAATGTTATGTCTTTAATAGGGGATATGGAAAAATCTTTTGATTTAGGGTAATGTAATTAAAAAAATTTAATTAGTAAATTGTTGCAAGGCTGTATTTATATAAAATTATTCAATTGTGGCCATCCCTTTTAATTAAAAACTATTGCTTCACTGTAATGCATGTATCTACCTACTCTCTCCTGCATTATCCCAAACATGCATTCACACTTGAAGTCAATTATACATGGCAACCACATACACAAATATTATCTCTTAACCGTCAACTAATATGGCCATCACCTTCTAATCCAACTTAATTGTATGTCTTGATGTCTTACAGTTACCGCCATTTTATTTTTTAATTATTTTTTAAAAAAATACAAAAACCATAGATATCTTTTTTTTCTATATTAGAGTTCATATTACATACTGACAATAATTTAAATTTATACTTTTAAAAGTCAATGGTATTAGTTAGAAAGTTGTTGAACTCAAAACAATACAACAGATTAATATACCATTACCTTGTAAATTAATAATGTTTTTTTGAATTTGTTAATGTTTGTATTTATGATAAATGTGAGAAATGTATTTGATTAAATGAATTATCTTTTGTTTTGTACTTTGACTCCTTGTTATTACTCTATCAAATCTAAATAAAAATAATAGTTTTTTTTAATGCTAAATTTCTCAAATATATTGATTTTTACCCTCTCATGTCTTTTCTCTACTTTTACTAGTTTGATCATTATATTGTTTATATAATTTTTATTTAACTAAATTGGCTTATATGTTTCACAACACAAGAACAAATATTAATCGCAATATATATCTATGTATATATATCATAACTAAGTTTTTATGGTATTAGAATACTGTTGGAGTGTAATTAGTAATTATGTTTTGCATGGAAAATTTTGAAATCTTATAAATTAAAGTTTGCATGTCGAGCAAATTAACTATAAACCAAGTATGGGCCAGATGTTTTTTGTCTGATCCAGTTGATATATACATATATATATATATATATATATACATTACATAAGGTACCAATGGAAGGAATACATGTTGAGGTAGGTAAATATATATTAAAATGTTTGTATATGTGTATGGAAGGGTGAGCATCTAAATTTTTATGATGTATAGGTAAATATCAATAGAAAGAAAAATATCAACCAGAAAAACACAACTTTTGATGGTCTTGTTGTACCATGTCATATAATTAATTTTTTTCTTTATGAATTATATAATCAAATATATTGCAATTATAATGAATTATGTAACATATATATATAATTAATTTACATATAGATCTATTAAAATAAAAATTATTATAATTAAACTAATTAGCTCCCTAATTATTTAATGAATCCTTTGGCATATTAACCTAGTTTCCTTCAATATAAATGTGGGAATAAATTATTTCAAATTGTATACTATACATATGGTTTGATGCACTAAAATATTTTGTGTGTGGATATATTTTCTTCTATATACAATTAATGATTTAAATAAAAGATTCTGCATCCAGTATTCAATATTCAAAAAAGTATAATACATATATATATATACCTGCATATATAATTGCTCTCCTTTTTTACCGCGTGCCTACCTCAACTTTTAGGGAGATTCATTTTTGAATTAACAATGTGGATATGGAACTCAAGCCCACAATGTGATGAACAAGTTATAGAAATATTTATTTTTATATATACAATAAATTAGCCGCACGCAATGAACCGGATTCATAAACACTTCCTTGATTACCATCATCGTACAACAATTACATATGCACAACTTTTCTTTTGACTCACTTTATGCATATATATATATATACGATTTGCTCTCTAGATAATTATAATGATTTGCAAACATTTCATATGTAATCTTGTATTTGTTTTTATACTCTTCTAATATGCACACACTAATAATTAGTTCCCAAGTCACAACAAAGTTTTAAAGTAACCAAAGAATTGCCTAGTATCTTCTTCGATCTTCACAAGGCCTGCAAATCAAAATTAACAATACACATATATACATGCAAGAACATATTACATTTCATTCTCTATATCTATATTAAGATCTTGTATAAGTAGAAAAGAAAAGTTAAATATATATACTGATAATTTTCATAATCCTCATATAGCCTTAACTACCACCAATCCCCTTCATCTTTTTTCTTCAAAGAAAAAACTCCATGTATTAGATCCTTGATGCAAGCTTGATGCCATGTTAATTCACCAGCTCAGTGAACCTGTTATAACCATAGACAACTCTAAATATCTACTCATTCTCTTAGGTATAAGTTAGAAATCAAAGAAAATGACCATATTCAACATGCTCATTAATTTACCCTCTATATTAGCTTTAATTGTCTCCTATAAGAAAAAGTAAAAACTTGAAAAGTGTCAAATTGAGCATCATGTGTAACTTAACAGTGATTCAATACAAATAGTAGAATTAGTGTAAACTAGCATTGTATGAGTTCTAATGGTACCTATGCATACACACTAAATAGCCTCGTTCATTAACTAATTAGAACCAATGTTACAGCATCGTAAACCCATCCAGAGGGTTAAAGAAATAGTCAAAACTAAACAAAAATCCTCCTATTCAATTTGATACTCCTCACTCCTTAGCAACTATCATCTCCTGATTCACCACTAGGCCAAAATCCTGAGGAAAGCTATCATAAAAGCTCTATTACTCACCAAAATCACCAATACTTGTCTTCTGAAGGTCTGGATCCAATTAAGTGTGGATGCTTTCGAGATTCTTT